GCACGGGTTCCGAGTCCGCAAACCGGACAAACTGAAATCCATTCAGCCACATGCGCCCATCTTTTGGCGCCTGGTTGCTACCTCACTCAGTGTGCGAATGTGATGTGCATCCTGTCCAATGCCCGTCGGCGGCATATGCACAAGGCTGCGGGGTTTCGAGCCCACAACCACTGACCACATGTGCATTTCCAACCGTTGCGCTAACCACTGCGCCATCATGCCATTCGCAGTTTCTTTTTTTTTTTCCAAAACACACACAGCCCCATCTATTCTGGGGGGCATCAGTCCGGTTGCTAATCACCGGCAAGCAGAAAGACAAGGGAAAGAGAGAGAGAAATGAACTCAGAAGGCAAGAAGAGGAGAAGGGGGTATCCACCCAAGCCCCCCTCAAGAGGAAAAAGGGTGACCTGGAAGGCAGCGCCAGCGGAAAGGAGTGAGCAAACTCACAACCATCAATCCCTAACAGCGCCCCCACCGGGAAGCAAAACTGCACCCAGTCGTGGAAGCACCATTAAGGTAGAGAGCAATGTTCGGATCACTCCTTCATACCTCACACCCCCCTAATGACTGCACCTATCCTAAGCTAATATATAACCATCAATCTCCTGTTTTCTGTAAAAATCTCTGCTCCTGCTTATCTAAAGGAAACCACTTGCTCTTTTCCGATCAATTAAACTGTTTCTTTAATCCCAACCTTCTTGTCATGCATGATTCACCAACCCCCCCCCCCCCCCCCCCCCCCCCCCCCGACCCCAGCCTCACCCGAAGGACCCAGCCAACCCAATACCCCCCGACCAATAAAAACTAAAAAACTAACCCCTTCCGCCCACGAGAGCACCCACGACCACTCCCCAACCTGGTCCCCTACCGTAACAATCCCACGGTAAGGCTTCCAGGCTTTGACAAAAAAAAACCAACCCCCCTTCCGTCTCTTGGCGACATCTGCGGAGACAGTTGTTCTTAAATTCCGCACCATCCATGCTCGCTGCATCCGGAAAGATGGAGGCACCCCTTCACGCAACAAACGGGCCCACATGGCCCATACTGCAGCCCAAAAGGCCGCCCGAACCACGTCCGCCGCGTAGGCCTCGCGTACCCATGTAACATCCCCTGCCAATAACACCCCCACCAGAACAGAGGAATTCCTTCTACTGGCCCCTGCCAGCAGGACCGCCTCCCCCAAAGAATCCCACCATTCCTAAAAAAGTTTCTGCGGCGAGCACTCCATCCACATATGAGGCAAGGACTCCTCATTCTGGCAACCCCTACACGCCCTGTCCTTGTGCGAACACCTATCCGCCAGCCATTGGTAGGTGGCCTGTGCTAGGTGAAGACAAAGCCACAGACCTCCTGCATGTTTTTGGTCCGGGAGGAAAGTCAGCACCTTACAGGCCTTTTGCCATGTGGGTGTGTCCCAGGATTGAAGAGCCTTCTGATCCAACCAACCCCTTTTCGCCCACCTCCCCCGCATTTCATCAACCATGTCTGTCGGGACGAGCAGGGTCCTATAGATCACCTTCGTGGACACCTGACGGACTCTGCAACACTTCCTGAGAGAGTTTTTGGGTGCCCACTCCCACGCCGAAGGGTCCCAGGGGAGTTGGAGTGGCTTGAAAGCAGGCTTAAAGGGGCGGAAGGCCCCCTCCATAGAAACTGACTGGTCCCTTACCACCACAACCGATCTTATGTTGCTTTCATGAACCCTGCCATCCCGACCCGGACGCCAAGAGCCTCCCCCAACGCCTTTTGTGGGCCGACGTCCTCCCAGACCTCTGCCGCGTACCACTGGGATCCCACTTTCTCTTTTAGCTGAAAAAAAACAACCGGCCGGTCCTGCCCTTCCAACGTCACCCACTCCCCCTGCTTATGATCCTTGGACATGAGACAGTCAACCCAACCCTGTGGAATCGCCTGTCTAATCGCATCCACCCTTTCCTTCTTCTTTGGCTGATGATCCAACTATCGCAACACCTCACTCTCCTCCCTCCATGTACCCTCCTGCACATCCCAGATGTCAACGAGCCGATGCACCCCACACTCCAACCACTGCCTCCCAAAGGCGCCCAAGCCGCCTTGCCATGGGAAAGGGGCTCCCGTCTGCAGTATGAGCCGATTTCCAAACAAAGACTGCCCAAGGATCTGGTCACCAGTCCGCGGGGCCGACTGCCTCAATGGGGCTTCACGCCACTTTTCCAGGGCGCATGACCACAATGCCCCCCTGCGGAGGCCATACAAGAGCTGAGGGTGAAGGAGGGCCGTTTCAACGTCCGCCGGATGCACCCTGATTGCCTCCGCCATCTCTTGTAGCGCGACCATCTTCCAAGGCTCCGCATCATCTTCTAGAAGGAGCCACAAGACGGAACGCATCTGTAAGGCAGCAACCTGCACTCGAGGGTCCAACAACCCCAGACCCCCGGCCGATCTTGGCTGCACCAACTTCTCCCAACGCACCCTGTAGATAAGCTGCGAGGTACAAGGGTCGTCCTTCCACAGAAACTTCCTAAGGGCGCCCTTGTATCCTTTCCACGCCGTCTTAGGAGGATCCGATACCGCGCCCGCATACCACAGTGTCGCAGACACCGCATTATTGGCAATGAGGACCTTACCAAATACCCCGTGCGACGCACGTTTAGCCCAAGCCGACATTCGTGTCACTGCGCGATGGAGCAGATCTTCCAACTGATAACCTGAAGACAATGTCGCAGGGATCTGAATACCAAGATACAGAAATAGTTCCTCAGTTGACTGGGTCCTCATGCCTTGGAACATTGTGATGTCAACCCTGTCCGGGACCACCGCCACAGATTTCCCCCAATTCACTCGTGCACCCACATATTTCTCAAACAGAGACACCTCACTTTGCAGGGCCGAAACGCTCTCGTTCGTCAGACGGGACATTGCCGCAGTATCATCAGTAAACGCATTAGACTTCACCTGTTCTCCCCCTGGTAACTCAAAACCCAAAATCTGATCATTCGCCGGGATCATCTCGCGCAAGTGTTCGACATACAAGATGTATAGCGCAGGAGAGAGTGGGCAACCCTGCCGTACAGAACGTGTGATCTTCAGGGGTGAAGATAGCAATCCATTAATCTGAACTCTAGCTTCAGCCATTCCCAACACCACTTCAACTGCCTTGACAAAACCCTCCCCCACCCCTCTATGTCTCATGCCCTGCAGGAGGAAGGGCCATCTGACCCTATCGTAAGCCTTTTCGAAGTTCAAAAACAAGGTAACCAAGGGGGGCTGAGAACACCGAGCCCTCTCCATGATTTGCCGGACCAAGAGGACATTCACCAGAATCTACCTTCGAACTATGAACCCCGTCTGCGTGGGGTGAATAAGAGCGGGCAACACAATAGCAATTCTGTTGGCCAACACTTTCGCATACACTTTATATGGTGCTGATAACAAAGAAATGGGCCTCCAATTCCTAACCTCCTCCACATTCCCTTTCTTATACAAGAGAATAATTGTAGCCTGACCGAAATTAGCCGGAGGGGCCTCCTCTCCTGAGAACAAGCGATTAAAAGCAATGCACAAATAGGGGAGGAGGGTCCGCGTTGCAACCAACAGATATTCCGCCGGCAAACCATCGGGACCTGGAGCCTTACCCTTGTGCATCCCACCCATCGCCCCCGCTATTTCCTCTTGGGTAATAGGCACGTCCAGGGCCGCCCTATGGTCCGGTGAGACAAAGGTGGCACACTTAGCCCATACATCACTCATTGGCAGAGAAGCCATGTCCTCAGTGGACCAAGTCTCATCCTCACGATACAAATCCCCATAAAAAAGTTCCACATATTTGAGGATGTCTGAGGTGCTTTCCGCCCTTGGCTCCAACGGGTCAAAGGGATGTCCCATTGAAACAATCGAAGGAGAGTGGGAAAACTTCTTCATCTGGGCAAAGAAGGCCTTGGACATCCGCTCAGCATCTCGTACCCACTTAGTTTTGGACGCGAGCCCCCACAATTCCGCATCCCAGGCCTGCCAATCTGCCCACTCCGAGTGCAACTGAACCCACTCCGCCCACCACTCATCCTCCGAACCTGTCGGTGACACTTCCCCCAAAGCTTCCATTCGATGGAGGTATTCCTGCCCTGTACGGTCATGCGCCTGCCTGGACACCTTGGCCCTCCTTTTCATGTTTGCAGCCAAAACCTGGACCCCCTGCTGAAGGTGCTCCAAGAACGGTGTTCGTTCAGGCCGCGCTGCGAGCCAAAGCTCCCAGTGCTGCACCACAAGGTCTTTGCCGAGTGATTCAGACAGCAACCACACCGGGGCTGTCATCGGAGGAGGTCTTCTAAATACTTGGGGGTGCAGCGCGAGCGAGGTAGTGATAAACTTGTGATCCGAAATCGAAACCAGCTGCTGATCAAAGCTCTGGAGATTCGGCAAAAGATCGGAGGAAACCCAGGCCATGTCGAGCCTGCTGCGAAGGAGGGGTGAAGTCCCGAACCAAGTAAAGCTTCTTTCTTCAGGGCTAAATCTGCGAAAGGCATCCACCAAGGCCATGTCGGCCGTTAACCCACATAATGCATCTGCATCCGGCTTCAGATCTCCTGCCACCAACGAGTCCCTACCCGGGCGGATTACCGTGTTAAAGTCCCCTATCACAATCATACTGTCCGAGTCAAGGAGACAGGCCGCAAAATTCCTCCAAAACCATTTTCCATCTGTGACATCCACCGGAGCATACACAGTTACTATCAACAGCCTCTCCCCCTTTCCTCAATGTACACCCATGCCCATCTCCCCATCGTATTCCAAAAGAAATCCAAAACCTTACCCGTAAAAAACCTCGTCAAGATCACAGTCACCCTCCTCTAGTCCCCTCAGCCGGAGCCCATAGCTGGAAAGGACCCCCAAACCCAAACTCCAGGAGAGATAGGCTACCCCCCCTCATCCCGGACTTGTCTCCTGAAGACAGATTACTGACAGTCTAGCTTTATAGACTAACCTTTTAACTTCCTTAGCCTTGGATCTTACTAAACGTTGACCCAACCCTCTAACGTTCAAGGACCCCACCCTAAACATGAATACCAATACGAAGTGAAGTGAAAGGGGTGACACTACCACTTAACTACAGCCATTCAGCGAACACGAGCCTCAGACATCTTGGCGCCCGGTCGTCACGACAGTCAACGCCTACTCCCCCGGGACCGATCCGAACGCGACACCCGCACCGAGACCCTCGACCTTCTACGCGGAACCACCAGACCACTCTGCCTTCTAGATGGCCCTGTCTGACCCGTTGCCTGTGAAGCCGTCCCGGAGGCAGCCTCCCGGGGCGGCTGCACTCTCCGCTGCAGGCCATACAACCACTCATCAATACAATACCAAAACCTGGTGCTAGAGAACCGCTTAGCCCTCGGCATACGCCTATCAAGATCCTTAAGAATCCGCAAGGGGGCTGACATAGCTGTAACAACTGCGTGTTCCTCCACCTCCGCAAAGTCCAGCACCAGCGCAAGGTTCCGCCAACCGAAAGTGGGGGCGAACGGAACGCTGTCCTGCGACTGTTCAAATTGGCCCTCACAGAAAAGCAATACAAACCCACCGAGAAATCATGACTAGTGGGTGACAACAAACGAATGGCCGAAATTCCAGGGATCATGGCCACTTCAGCTGAGGAGCCCAACCACTCCCGAGCCACCATCAGGGCGTGCTGCTGGTTCGGCATAGCGGAGAGGGCAACCATCGGAAAGCGAGCATTATGTACACCCGCCGAGGCCGAAACAGTAAGAACATGCAGAACTGACGCACTTTCCATAAAAACCAGCGGAACCAAATACAGCCTTCCTTCTGAGAGCATATCCTCCAGAACCCCATCCAGCAACTGCATGTGCAACCTACCATTGAACGGGTTCCCCTCCCTTGGATCCTGATTCCTTCCACCCGTACGCGGCTCCGATTCCTCCTCCCGATCCTCCTCGTGCGCACCTTGCAAGGGGTCTGGTGACGACAATCTCACTCGGCCTTGAGGGGGAACCGGGAGGGGAGAAGCCACATCGGGCAGGACCCTCAATGGTGCCCTGATCTCCTGACATGACACAGATTGAGTAGGAACAACATTGGACCCCTCCTCATCACTAACTTCAATGAACCGTTCCAAACATGCAGAAGCGGGACCCTGCGGCACGGTCCGTCCGCCTGGCTGAGCGCTCCTGTCCTGAGGCAGGCGTCCAACAATCCCCCTTCTCCCTGCTGTCGGTATGTCCTCGTCCACCCCCCGGGTCCTCAGGACTCCAACCTGATTAACCTCTCTGAACTTCCTAGGCGGCTCATCCTCCTCTGATGTAGACGAACCCCGTACCACCTGCTGCTTTCCTCTGTCCCCGACCCCAGCCGTAGCCTGGGACCTCCCCTTCCTCCCCCTCTTGCGAGCACGTGAACGCTTCCTATTTGCCGGACTTTCCCCAAACTCCTCTTGCAAGCTACCGCCGACACACGGGCCATCCTGCATAGGCACATCAACAGCCATGGCCACGGAGGCACACACATCCCTGTCCCTCACGGGGGAGGGGGGACAACCCCGATTAACACTTCTCATTCGGGCCGATGGGCGGGACAGAGAAGCGGGAAGAGGCTCTTCCTCAAACCAACCTCCCGTGGGCAGTCGAGACGATGGACCCGCCCCGGCACACGGGTCATCCTGCATAGGCTCATCAGCAGCCATGGCCACGGAGGCACACACATCCCTGTCCCTCACGGGGGAGGGGGGACAGCCACGAATAGCACTTCTCACTTGGGCCGATGGGAGGGACAGAGAAGCGGGAGGAGGCTCTTCCACCAACCACCCCCCCGTAGGCAACCGAGACGAAGGGCCCGCCCCTTCCAACAACCATCCACCATCAGCGGGCCCCTGCAAAGTGAGGGAGTGTTGTGCCTCAAAGTTGACCCTGGAAATAGAGAAGGAGGCCGTACGACGAATCACTGATAGATGAGACGGACCTGGTTAACCAATCGGTGAAAGACCTTGCGAGACTGTCGGGAAGACTGATGCCCTTACAACAGGCGCTGCTTGTACCGACGTAACCATAGCACAGGACGCCGATGGATGGGTCTGGATGAGCTGATGAGAGGGTCGTACACCCACCTCTTGCAATCGCTGCTCTCCAGCTTTCTCGACAACACCACCAACATGTCCAACCCCTGCATGGTGGCCATCCTCCCCATCCCCAATCTGATGCACAACATGAGTCTGTGGTTGACCAATCGGCGCTAGACGTTTCGAGACAGCCGGAGAGACCGATGCCCCTGCAACAGGGATTGCTGGTGACGAGGTGACAATGACACAGGGAGCCGACGACAGAGTCCGGGTGACCTGTTGAGAGGGTAACACATCCCCCCCTTGAAATCGCTGCTCCTCAATCTTCTCGGCAACACTATCAACACACCCGCCCCCAGCATGGCAACCAATCACCCCACCCCCAGCCTGTGCTCGACATGATCCTGAGATTGAGCAATAGGCGACATACCTTGTGCGGCCTCAGCATGCCACCCAACATTCCCATCCCCATTCTGCTGCGCAACATGGACCTGCCGGAGATCCCGTGCAGCCTCCTCAATCCGGCAGTCCTCCATTGGCCGGGCGCCCACCCGCCCCGCTGCTGGTCCAGAGCGCTAGCCATTCCACTACCGGCACCAGAGGTGCCTCTTGCATAATGACATCGTCCTCCCTCGGAGGTCGCTTCTGCTCTCACTCCTCCGGCAGCGGTTTACCTCCCTCCTTAACCACAAAGAGAGGCTCCTTTCCCATCCGCCGCTCCTTCACAGTGCAAAGTGTTCACACTTATACGTGCATGGCTTAGTCTTTGAGACAAGCATATGACTACTGGCAGGATCAACCAGGTAGCGGGTGTTACGAGCAGCCGCAAGGAGCGATGGCCGAGGCGCACGTAGGCACGTCACGCCGGACAGCCTACCAAAAGAACGTCGAACAATTGTGGAACGTGCAATCAGCTGCCGAGACGCTGCGAAGTCCGGCTGTTTGAATTGCAGGTGAACTTCCCTCCGTAGGCCATCTCCAACGGCAAGGTACCGCACAATCCAACACAGCCCGCCGCACCTGCCCAAAAGATTGGCTGCGAACAGCACCTGCCCACACCACACCCTGAGATCGCAAGATAACCAAACTATCCGAACAACGGCGAGCGCAAAGGAACCACCGACAGCTTCGGCCCACAGCCGGATGCCACCGCCCGCCCAAAACATACCGACAACTAAGTGCACCGCCTCATCTCTCCATCGAGAAACGCGGGTGAAGAGAGAAACGAATGCACCACGCTTCCAACATGCCCGGACAGACGGAAAGCCTCCACCTGTGCACAGGGGTGCAAAAGGAATACAACCCCTTCCCGCTGGATCCACATCTGTCGGTTGCCGCGGGCACCACCAACAGCACTCGACGCAGGCGAAACCCAAGAGACAGAGGACAGTAACCTTCGAAGCCCATAACCTAAACGCAGCGGAACCACGACACAACCCGATCCGTCACGGTGTGCAGCATACCGAGACCACAGGATTGGGGACATGACGGGCACAAGCGCGCATTCCAACAAGTCGGGCGGATGACGGGCCCAACCTCGCGACGTCGTCCGAGGGTGCATCACGCATCCCAGAAGTCTCCGCCCTCACATACGGTAAGCAGAGGGTGCAGGGCCGAGGCCACCTGCGCCACTGCTCAATGGCGCCGCTCGGATGACGAAGAGCGCGGAGCGTCCTCACCAATTCGTGACACCCCCTTAACACAAACGGAACGCGCCGTTGTGAGTGCGGACATGAAGACGACACCACAACAGAGCCGCAACAGCTCTCCCCGTAACCTACGGGATCATGGTGCCGAAGCTGAGAGCCGGTGACGGGCACCTCCGCCTCCACACCCTGCAAACGACCGCCAACCGGACCGCCGTCGGCGATCAGGCGCCAATCATCGCAAGACGATGAGCGAGGGTGAACGCAACGATCCACAACCCGACACCACGGCATAGGAAAGCCCCGACAGCCGTGACCGCCGCCAACGACGACCGAGCTGTCGTGAAATAAGCCCTCCGAGAGAGACGACCATGGACCCGAACGGCGCCGCAAAAATGTTCGCTCGACCACCAAAGAACGACTCGCTCGTCCCTCGCAAACTGGAAACCACCCAAAGCGTGTGAAGAGAGTCCCTCGTAACTCGAGTACAAGGTCCCAAAACCCACACCCAGAACGTCGCCTTCGTCGACTGCAAGGGGGCTGCTAAGCACGCAGGCCCCTATAAGAGTGCAAACGGGACTCCGAACCGCCAACCACCGACTGTTTGGCACATCCGGAGGGTGCTCACTAAGCCATCCGCCGAGGGACCTGCACATGTCCCTTTCCAGCAAGCTGACTGAAGAGACCCCAATGGCGATGTCCCCCTCAGGACCTCATCCCTTTCCGCTCTCAATAAGACGCCTCTGGACCTTCGATCCTGGGAGACCCCCTTTTCTCGGGGCCTTTCCTACGCCCGAGTAGCAGTGCGCGGTATCTGCTGGCCCCACAAAATTCGACGCCTCAAAAGTCCGTCCCATCTCCGTCCCTTCCACACACAAAGGGATAAGGGGAAGGGCCGGGGAAAAAAAAAAAATACATTAAAAAAAAAAAAAAAAAAAAGGGGGCAGAACAAACATAGAAAAGGCCAAGCAGCTTTTGTGCCTAGCGACTCAGATCACGCCACGGTGTGGGAGTGAAAAGTTAATGGGAAGTCTGGCGGAATCGTGCGTCCGTTGTGGGGTTATGTGTTGGCGAACATGACCGGACACGCACTCCAGAAAGAGAAGCGGGGAAAGAAAAGTCAAGGATGACTTGACAAAATCGTCATTTCAATTTGTGTCGGTTCCGGAAAAGATTGCATTCGGCAGAAGAAGCAAGGCCGAAAACCCGACGGCCATAAGCATTTCCGTACATGTCCCGAAGAACACCATGGAGCCAATCAGGTACYGCCTCCAGTGAAGCAGGCCGCCATGATCACGCGCAC